TCCTGTCCTGATGTGTTTTACACCCACCTGCTTCAACCTATCGTTCCTGGAAGTTTTCTTGTAATTGTCCTATTTATAGTTACATCCCCCCTTCTCATAATATTGTAAAGCGCTACGCAATCTGTTGGCGCTATATAAATGGCAATAATAGTAATAATAATAAAAATTGTATTATACAACACAAATGCATTAAGATATAATCAATAAAACTGACTGAAAAGGAAATATACATCTTGTTAAACCTAAATATTATGTCTCTTACTATTGGTGTCAAGCAGATGGCATATTGGCTGGGTACACCCTGGCAGACATTTAGAATTCTTACACTATCACTACTTTGTCCTGGCTCCCATGTAATGTCTGTCTGTGCTGTGAGCCTAGTGCAGTATTGACATTCCAGTGTTGTTAGAGAGAACAAAATGGTTACGCTGTTTGCCAGTCCCTTTGTCAGTGAGCAGGAGAACAGATAATTCCCCCACTCACTTCTCCTTGCTGTTTGTTTCCTCATGTTGCTCTGTATTTTTTGTGTCTGTGTGGTGTATGGCCTTGTGCAACATAAAGGGTCAATAACAGGACAACCTGAGTAAGTTAATGTGATGCCCTCTCATTTTCTTTACTAAGAAAACAGGTAGGATCCCCTCTTGCTGCAGGAATGAGCCTCAGTGACTCCTCACATTGCTGTGAGTTTTATTGCTGTGAAGCCTTGTGAAACACAACATTACGGAGAGAGTTATTGCTGTCGAGTTCTTTGACAATATGTAAATTGTGAACTGTGTATTGTATTGTTACGGAGCTCTGTGAACTGATTAATTGTTGTTTGTCTCAGCACTTGTACGGGACACATTACCGTGTCTTTTTACATATGAAGATTTATATACATACACACCTCTTATAATCATGACTTTTAAGGGCTCTAGCTCATAAATGAATCTCCTACACATTAAAGTAATTCTTTATTGCTTTGGAACTCTGAGATATAATTACTGCGCATCCCTGTGAGTTTACTCTTGTACAACACCCCATATCTGTTTTAATGTTACTAAACGCTAGTACAATGCAGCTAATTAGAGAAAGAGCTAGGTGTGTGTATGATATAACTTTCTTGTTACATTCAGCCCTACATTTTTTGTACTTTCGTATCCAATTCAGCCTTTTGTAGAAAACAAGCTTGAGAGCCCTGCTTTATTTGTTCCAGTTGGTAAAATCTCAGTTAGATACCCGGCTTGGGCATGGGTTATAGAACAGAGCGCATACATCATGTATAATTAGGTTAATTCCAAACCCTGCTTAATTCTAGTTTGTATTATAATCTTTACAGTTTGAATGTGAAAGTCCCATAAATCAATTTTATTTTTTTTATTTTTCCTTTTGGTAAAATATATTTCGACCAATCCATAAATTTTCATAAAAGATAAAAAAAGTTGATGGCTCTTTTAACTTGTCAGGCAGTCACTCTTTTTAGTGCGTGAATGAGGAAGAGCTGCTGAAGACCCCAGAGTGAATGTGTGACTTCCCTTCTAAATCCAATACGGGGATGTACCTTTTAAAGGCATCCTGTCACTTTGGAGTTTTTACAGACGATAAATAATTATTGAAGCAGCCTATTCCTTTTTCATTTGCATGTTTTACTTTAAAAGTGCATTCCAAGCAAGATAACTTTACAATTGGTTGTAGTTAATGTGTTGATAGCATTTTAAAGTGGCTCTATTACTATAAAGCTAAGTGATCTCTTACTTAATCCCTGAACTCCTTCCCTAACTCTCCTGGCTCAATTCAAAGGACTGCTTTTTAAACTTTTTCTGGTACCACTGGGGATTCTTTCTCAGCTCCATCATCTTAAAGATTTGGAAAGTTACGCACGCAGAAATATTTTCTGGTGTTAAGAATGAAATCATGCACATTATTAGAGGATTCAGGAGGTTCCATTGACCTCAGCTTTGATTGTGTTTTAGTGACACAACGCTTCAGGAAGGTGAGGTGAGTACAGAAGTAAGTGGCCAATGACCAAGTCGACCAATGCCGTGGAGTTTGACTAAAACTCCACTATTTGTCAACGTTTGTCAACCATTAGGTTATAAAATAAGGAAGATTAGTCTCTACTTTTCTTAGGTATAACTTGGAAAACATTCATAATTAAAAAAAAAAAAAAAAAGATAATAGGTCGAGTAAGTGATGTAAAACATGCCTATGTTAAAAAAAAACAAAAACTAAAAGTGACACATCAGCTTTAAGTGTCCCTGCATATCTTCAGTAGGAGCAGAGATTATCTTCCTGACAATCTCTTACCCCTGTCAGTCTCCCGGGGAGGAATGCAAGGTTTTGTTTCTGCTTTTCAAGTACTCCTGCAGGGCACCTGTGTCAGGTGAGGACTGATCGCTGAACGGAAGATTCTTTATACTCTTTGTAGAAATTAAACTGACAGTTCCCAATGACTGTATTGTTGATGTCCCTGTCATGAACGTGGGCTATTGACCCAGCCGAGACAGTGCGGAGTGTGTGGAAGTGAAAGGGTTAATGACAACAGATCCCTGGTTACCTGTTGCTAGTCCCAGCAACCACTAAATTAACCCCTGCAATCCCTTCTACACTAACACCCTAGTACACACTTTTATACCCGCCGTCTTAGGTTACCCCACACACAGTCAGATTATAGTATCACAACCTTACTTTACTGATCAGACATATATAATCAACCCTTTTGGTAGAGAATAGAGACACAAGCTGATTAAGTAAACATTTAATCTGACAAATAGGATTCACAGTGCTGAGTACAAAATACAGAAATAAATGACATACCGAAACACAGATAACAAATTGCAAAACAGTCCATAAAATAGGAGAAAACACAAGAGATCCTTACATATATTTACCGCTTATATATAATTATTGTGGGAGATTCAGATGTTAAAGTTCTCCAAGCAGTTGTTAAAAAGAAAATCTCTCTCTGGATAGTCCAACATCCTCATTATATACCTTAAAATTAGTTGTTTCTGAGTGGGCAGACCCCTGGGTGGATCAGAGGGATTTGGCCTGGCAGTTTATTGTTCACTCCATATTTTCTTAAATTATGTTGTCCTTTAAAGAACCCAAAGTCAGAGCATATGCACCAATACCTTTAACGATGTCATATGTCCAGCTCTGGTGATGATTATCTTAGTAGTTTTATGGCTTAGGCCTGGTGTAAGATCAAAGCCTACAATAAAGGTTATCTAAACATGTACAAAAAAAAAACTCATTACATATATCAAATGCCAACTCATGCTTTGGCATGACAGTCCCGATTTCGGGATCCTGTCTGCCATCCCAATTTAGTTCCATGATGCCCCACATCTGGGGACATCAGGCATCTGTCCTGCAAGGTCCTTCCAATTTTGGGAGGTATGTATCAGCCATGCAGCCACACTGATAATAATCTGCTGCTTTCAAACTGGAGTTTGTCCAAGGCAATGGAGGGAACTTTTGGCACAAATGCCAAGGCTGTATTCCCACTCGCCAATGGAAATTTGTGCCGGTGTCTCTTAGCAGAGTAACAGTTTATTCCCAAAGAATTCCCATAGCATTCAGTGGAGGCATTGCTATTCTGTAAGCAGAGTAAATCCGTACTTTGCTAATAGAATCCAGGCGATATAATTGATGGATGTATTTTTAGGCAATTTCTCAAATAAAGCACTCTAGATGCCTACAGGCACTTCATGCATGCGCATGGGAAGATCTCTATGACCTTCAGTATATGAACTGTGAAATCATGCTAATGCCAGTCATCTTTGTTTTGTATTATGCTGAATGTGCAAACACACTGTTTTAAAGCAGTAATACAATGCATGACATGCAAATCTGCCAGTGGTTGATTATGAAGGCTCTAAGGACAACCGGCTTGGTGTCAAATTACACAAGACATGATTTACATATTTATTTGTAGTTTGCCACTGCTGATGTCACCTAAAAAAAATATAAGTGACAGGTCTGCATTAAGATAGATAAATATTTCTAATAACATTCTGACTTAAACAGAATCCAGCACTGTAACATAACTGGCTAGTCTAGCCAACTATTGTTAAAGTTCTATTGCATTATTGCACATTTGATTTGCATTCTTCTCTTTATAATTATTGTTGAATGAAACTATTTAATTTACCTTAGTCTATGCTTAATATATCTGTGAAACATCATTAAAATGTCTTTCTTTCTGTTTAATGTTGGCTTACCGTTAAGAATATTTATCGTTCTGTGTTTTGTCATGTCGAATAAAGTGTAATATTTGAAAGAGACTCCCCGTGCTGGAAGGGACCCCCATTTTTTAATGCTTTTTAGCTATCTGTATTAAAGAATGAGTGATTTGCAAAACGCAAAAAATGAAGTACAAATATCGAAAAAATAAAATGCTTCCTTTTAAAGTTCGTGCAGCTGCTGTATATCCCAGGCAAGTAGCAGCAGTGACCCCGCCAATAAGAATTCGGGTTTATGGAGGTCTGAATTTATCTGTTAAACCTCTGTCCAGGAGCAGTGAGAGCCACTTAAGGCATATAAACCTGCATTTAGTACATCGTTGTTCTGCAGAATGAAGAACAATGCTGCAGAGTAAAAAAAAAAGTGAAAAGGTGCCTTTACTGTCCTTTTAAAAATGATGAATATTTTTTTTTAAGGTCACGTGAAAATAAATACATGATAGCTTGAAATCAATATTACCATTAAAATATGTGTCCACAAACCATTCTACTATAAATGTAGCCGTGATTACTATTTAAAGAATTTTGGATAAGTTCATCGTAGAATGGCATTATTTTATATATGTATTTATTGGAAATATTCTATTCAATTATTTAAAAAAATAAAATAAAACTTGTAAGCATATTTAGAAAGTGATAGTTTAGGCTGTATCGCAATGTACTTTACAATGGAGGAGGATCATTTCTCATAAATAGACATTATACATGTTATTGTGGTTTTTTGGGGGGTTTAGGGTATTTAAACACTAACATTTCACCTTACTTTTTTGTAATAGAAACTGAAAATGTCAGCTGAAGGTCAAAGAGTGGATGACAGTCCAAGTACAAGTGGAGGCAGTTCCGATGGAGACCAAAGGGATGGGGTTAATAATGAACAAGATCGTGAAAAAGTACAGCCGAAGAAGAAAGAAGGAAAGATATCCAGCAAAACGGCTGCCAAACTGTCCACTAGTGCCAAACGGTATTTATAGTTTTTTGTTGTTTTGGTTTTTGACATACAGGTAACAGAAACATTTAACAAAAAGACAATCAACAGCACCAACATTTTCTGCAGCTCATTACAGCGAGTATACGGAACAGAGAAGTAAATGCCAACAAACAAATATAGGCCTAGATCAAACAAGCTTATAGTCTAGAGTAATGATTTATTTTGAATTTGTCTTTGTATATTTTGTGCAATTGCTCCGAGAGCAGCCACCATGCAGTTCCAGGCTTAAAGGCCCAAGAATAAGATGGAATGTCATGCTTTCATGTGCCAACAGAGTTAGATCTCTGCTGGTATGGAAGAGACCTAGGTACCACTCAGAGAACACTTAGCATTGTGTAAAGGTGGATTGGGGCGTTCCTCTGCTGATCTTAGCAGTAAAATTAGTTAAGTGAATCCTTCAGCATTAGAGTTTGCATTAAGTATGTGGTCTTGACAATGAAAATAGAACAGAGATATGGCTAAAAGGGATACTATAGTTACAAAAACAACTTTAACTTAATGAAGTTGTATTTGTATGAAGATTGTGACCCTGCAGTCTCACTGCTCAATTCCCTTTAGAAGTTTAATAACTTTTGTTTCTGTTTATGCAGCATAAGCCACACCTCCCCTGGCTGTGACTGACCCAGTCTGCATGAAAAAAAAAAAGTTTCATTTTCAATTGGATGTTAACTTACTTTAAATTTTTTTATCTCCTGCTCTGTAAATTGAACTTTAAATACATTCAGGAGGCTCCTGCAAGGCCTAGCAAGCTATTAACAGAGCAGGAGATAAGAAATTCTACATTAAATGTTTTTTGCAATAAAGGAAGTGTAAACATTAGATTACTTTTTACAGGAAGTTTTTAGAAAGGCTGTGCAAGTCACATGCAGGGAGGTGTGACTTGAACTATATAAACAAAGTGATTTAACTTCTAAATGGCAGAAAACTGAGTAGTGAAACCACAGTGGGATGTTTTATAACTGCTTTGTTAAGCTAAAGTTGTTTTGGTGACTATAGTGTCTCTTTAAACGCTTGGCATTTGCCTTGTTTCAATATGCATTGTGAGTTTTATTTGGTGTAAACTCCCTTAACGAAGTGATATCCAAGCTGGCAGTAACTCATATTATTATTAGTATTTATATAGCGTCAACATATTCCGCAGTGCTTTACATTTATAAAATGGATATATTGAAGAAGTGAAGAAGGCCCAGCTCAAACGAGCTTACATATCATTATATAATTATGTGCGATGGCTATCACGCTCTTTGTGATAGTACCCTGTTACTGTAGAACAAAACGTGTACTCTAATGCATGAATTCACCAGTCCTGGTAATGAACCTTAGGGTATACTCCAAGTACCATAATTACTACAGTTTCGAAGTGGTGATGATGAAAAGATTTTATGGGTGTTCTATCCCCATTTTCTATCAAACTATTTGTGAGCAATTTGAAAAAAAAATTAAATAATTCTGTTTTCTGATACCCAAAGCCCAACCCCTTGACAGCTGCTCATATAATACAGAAGAAACATCCACATTATCTATTCAATATCATCCAACCTTGGGTGGCAGTGATATACTGTGACGGATGGGCTAAACTGCCCTTTAAAGAACCAAGAGATCAATTAACAGAAAACATGATGATTTAACCCCTTAAGGACCAAACTTCTGGTATAAAAGGGAATCATGACATGTCACACATGTCATGTGTCCTTAAGGGGTTAAGTGTCACAACCGCTAATCAGGGGAGTTACGCACACAGGAATCTGATTAATGTTGAACTATTGCCTCCTATATTACATAAACTATTATCCTATATTATATAAACTACATCAGCTGGCTAAAGGTAATAGATATTCTCCAGATGATTTTTTTAGCCGAAACAGCTTTTTGGGCATCTCTTAAATGCAATATCTAAATTACCGGGCTGCATGTTTCAAAGCCCTTTCGAGTATTGCTTGCTGGAATGTGTCAAAGACGAATGTTCTGTGTTCAATTACAGAAAACCTACATCTACATTTAAATTGAATCAGTGGCTGGAAATTATAAATCAGTAATTGGCCTTTTCCTTGCTAAATCTTTTATTTTGAAACATAATTCAACTAAGCTTTGCCTGTGGTGGAACATTTTTCTAATGAGAACGAACGTCTAAATCTGACTGACTGTTAAATATTTCACGGTCATAATGGTGTGAAAACGGATTTTAGAATGTGAGGTGTACAGTGGAGGGTAAATGTCTATATTCATCAGTTATAAATATAGACAGTAAGCCAGAGACAGTCACGATGGACTAAATTCCTGTTTCTAATAAAAGGTAATTACAATCAGTTTTGCACTTTTCCAGTTTTTAAAAAGACTCGGTTGCAAAATTGATCTTGTTACCTGCTGTAAAGTTTGTAAAAGGAAAAACAAAAAGTATTTCTGAGGTTCTGTTCTCCGTTCTCTATCCTGAATTTATAATAAAGCAAACTGCAAGTTCTTTGAAGCCGTCTGGTTCTCTTGAATGCTTTAGTTCAAAATATAAATTAACCAAAGTCAAAACAATGATATACAGATATGTACTATTTATTTAAATCTTATCACTTTTTGATTAATGTTGCAGGTATTTTGTTTATTAACATTAAGCTAAATAAATAAAATACATCTTTTAAAAAATGTTTTTTTTTTTTTTTTATAAATGTAATGAAACCTGTAACCAAACTGTGCTAATGAATATATTGCTTGTCACTGTGACATTGATGCATGTATCAGTGGGAGGTCAGTCTCAATAACTGCAGGGTGAGCAGCTGTGGAACAGCCTGTCTATAGATATCAAAACAATTGAGGATTAACTCACATTTCAAAACAAAAATAATTTAATGTGTGATGCTGAACAGCTTGGTTTAGCAAGGAATTGTCGACTGCTTATCACAGATTTCTCATCAGGTAGTCTCTGGTATGGGCAGTGTCTTTTTGGACAGGCAAACATCCCTTCCTAATGCAACATTTATTTCAATTTAGAATGGAAGGAGTTTGTTTCATTTTTGGGAAATCCATCATTTCGCATGATGCAGGGCATAAGACCCGCATATCTTAATTTTACTGTTCTTAAAGGGGCACACTAAGCACCATTACAATTACAGCTTATTGCAGTGCTATAAACAATAAGTACAATGCTCCTTTTTGTCAAACTTTGAGCAGTGTGTTGAATAACAAGATGCTCTCCAGTACCCACATGTTCAGCCCCTCTTCATCTTCACTTTTCATTTAAAAACTACACTTCTGTATTATCGAATGTGATTCTGTCAAATCTGGAAAGCTGGATCACAGACTAAGAGCTCTGGGTGCAGTTTCTGCATTACTTGGGGCTGTAGAATGGGTGGGCAGAGCCTTGTTATTTGTCAGGCCACTCCACGACAGTTCTATAAAATGGTGGGTAGCATCCATGGACATAGCACCATAGCTACTACAACAAGTGGTGTTTTCAGTTCCTCTTTAAAGAAGCACTATAGCGTTGGGAATACACATTTGTGTTAAATGTTTTTTTTTTATTTTGATAGCAGAGTAAAAGCAAACCTATTGCAAACCGATATGAGAGGCACATGGTCGCCTACACAGAGGCTTATAGGTCAAAGTAGTTAAACATAATAGATTGCATACAATATCTAGTATGCATGCGGTGACAGCGGGATGTGTGATAGAGTTCTATTTTGCCCATTATTTCGAGGATCAAAAACTAATAAAATTCAAAATGAAAACTGAGACTGAAGCTTAACATGAAAGCATATCCGTGTTTAGTATATCAAAGGAAAGCCTAACTAGAAAAAGAAAATCTGCTCTCTTGAGCGTCCATTAGATGCATGATTAGGCGTTAGGCTACTTGGAACATACGCCGTTTGTGTCAAAATTAAATCAGCATTTGATGTCAGGGTTTGGTTATGTATATATGGCCTTGCACACAATGGTGCATTGCTCTCGTAACGGTAGTCTTATATGGCCTAGGAGTCAAAGAGAGGAACATTGGAGGATAGGAACATGCTATGCAATATCACTGCACATAGCGGTTTGAGAAAAGCAGTGTCAGTTGTATTATGAGAGAGCTATTCCCATTTTGTAGGCCCCTCAGGATGCCCATCCTCCCCGGGTTGGACTCAACCCACCAGCATAGCGTTCTGTGGCACTGTGGGCACTCAAAGTCCAAATCAGTCCACCGGACCCCCCCACCAAGAATCCGTGCACTGACTGTTTCCTGCACCTCCCCAGCACCACTTAAGCTCCTGTGAAGCACTTGGACTCTCATGCCTCACCCTGCGCCGGCCACATACTTGGGACTGGGGCACTTCCCTCACGGCCACCGGTACACCGGAAAGGTCTGTGTATTCCTGTCCAACAGGACAACTCACTGCGCCGGGGACAATCTTCTCTGGGCCCCCCTGAAACACAAAGGCAGGGACTGTTACTGCTCCAGGGGGTAGGCCGCCCAGGGAATCCCTCCGCAGGACAGCTGTTAGGGTCATCGGAGCAGCGTAAGAAAGCTTCTCTATGGAGGTGAATTTCCCTATCATACCAGCATTTACATGTAATCATGAACTCTTGCAGCTGTTCCATTATTAGGGAGGGAGGGCCACCTAGGGTGTTGCCGAAGCACGGACTCATGGGCCAAGATAACTCCCACTCTCCGAGGTGGGGGGGGACGGTGCCGGACCTCCCTGTCTTCATATGCTCTCGCCAATGCAGCCTCACGGCCTGCCAGGTATGTATTTGCCAGTCCCTCGTCGGATCTCTGCCCTGCGAGGCTCCATGACTAGGCCTGAGTGTAGGTCCTAAGTGCCAGTGGTGTCCGCAGCGTGCCGCTATCCGCTTGAAATTGGTATCGACCAATAGCCGGCGGATTCCTCCAGGCATTACCCATGGTTTCTCAGGCACCATTGGGCTCAGGGGGCATGAAAGTTGCCCTTTTTAGCAGCAAAATGTCGGAGCCAGTGAAGATGTCTGCCGCTCAGCGCCATGGCCCCGTCCCGGAATACACATTTGTATTCCTAATGTTATAGTGCCCTGGTGGCTGTTTACATTACTGGCCCCCACTTGCTGAAAGAGAAAAATATATTTTTTTTTATATACTTCGTTTAACAAAAAATCTGTTTCAAATAGCTGACTGTTACTTGACTGGTGTATAGTCGCCATATGGGCAGTCGGAACCTTGGACAACCATCCCACATACCTATCCCCAATAACACGCTGACACTAGGAATATGGGAAAAATTGTCCACAGCTTTATTAACAAACAGAAACGATACTAATAATTTAACATATATATAACACATGGGTCATTGCCCCCCATCCTCCGCCCTCGCATCTATACCTTCATTAAATATCAGGGCAATGACCCAACATAAGCAACACATAAATATATATAAATAACGCTTTAACTTTACTCCAACATGAACCGATTTGAATGCAACCATAAGTAACCACGGTAGGGGTATACCCAGATACCCCTACCCCACCAGGTTCTGAGCCACCTCCAGGACTCGAAACCCACCATCGACCAGTGACCACAATTCTTCATGTTCCTCACGTTCCTCATGGAGAGCCTATTTTTCCTTCCCTAGCTCTCTATCCCGCCGCTGTGACAAAACGGGATAAAAGAAAACAAACCCATTACAGGGAGGGAGGGTGGGACAAACACAGCTAGGTAGAAATTAATGTGCACATTTTTAAAATGGCTGCCTAATAAATAGCCAGCCCCCATCCCATAATCCCACAGTCCTGCTTGGTCCCTCCTATGCCCGCCTCCTAACCCCTGTCAAGGCCCTTTTCCGCTAAGCTGCGCTCTGGCTACATGGGGCTACATGACTGGTGTATAGTCACCATATGGGCAGTCGGAACCTTGGACAACCATCCCACATACCTATCCCCAATAACACGCTGACACTAGGAATATGGGAAAAATTGTCCACAGCTTTATTAACAAACAGAAACGATACTAATAATTTAACATATATATAACACATGGGTCATTGCCCCCCATCCTCAGCCCTCGCATCTATACCTTCATTAAATATCAGGGCAATGACCCAACATAAGCAACACATAAATATATATAAATAACGCTTTAACTTTACTCCAACATGAACCGATTTGAATGCAACCATAAGTAACCACGGTAGGGGTATACCCAGATACCCCTACCCCACCAGGTTCTGAGCCACCTCCAGGACTCGAAACCCACCATCGACCAGTGACCACAATTCTTCATGTTCCTCACGTTCCTCATGGAGAGCCTATTTTTCCTTCCCTAGCTCTCTATCCCGCCACAAGCTCGGACCTTGACCCCTCAAGCCGACCGAGCTCCGCCACCCCGAAGAAAGAGAGCCCTCTGCATCCCCTCCTGCAAACCCAAGTTCAGCAAATCCAGACCCACCGCTGAAAGATGAACACCGTCCGTGTGGTAATAACCCGGCAGCCCGCCTTCCAATTCTACGTGCCTCGCTACCACGCCCCCCAATTTCCTCACGAAGCTTGCCATCAAGCTGTTAACTTTTCCCCTGCATCTGTCGATGGCCACTGGGTCCCTCGCGTGCCGCCACCGACGCCTCGGAACGATCTCAGACCACACCAGCATCACCCCAGGAAGCAGATCGAACAACCTGTTCAGGTCCTGCTTCATCCATTTAACCAACCGACGTTGCGGGATGAGGCCCAGGTCATTGCCCCCCGCGTGCAGAACTAGCATATCTGGCCTCGCCCCGCCTGCTACCATCCGAATTATCGCCCCGCACACGTCGCCCCAGCCAAACCCCTTAAAGCCCAACCATCGCACTGTTAGGAGGTCTATCGGGAAGCCCAGCTGTTGGCCCTGGGCTCGAGCTGCAGCTCTCCGTCCGGCCCAAATGATGAAGGAATGGCCCACAATCCATGCGACACAACCTGGGGAAGAAGGGAAACAACGTAAACACCCATACCCATACCGGGGCCCTCCCCCCGACCGATACAGCCCGCATCACTGATCCAACAAACCCATGCGCACATACGTGCGGAACCGAGCGGATTCCCTTCTCCCAATCCTTTTGACTAACTCGTCCCCCATGCCCAGACGCGCGGCCTCAGTGGCCGCCCCTATGCGAAAGGAATGCGTCCCGTAGGCAGCAGCACTCAACCCCAACGCCCCCAGACTCAATCGGAACACCTTAGTAAATTGGAAACGAGAGAGCGAGGAGCCATCGGCATGAACCAATAAAGACCCCCCGACTGCCGGTCTCAGTTCCAAGAACCGAGCCACAGCCGCAACTGGGCACAGTGATGACCCGGGCAGGGGACCCAGCGTCACATCCCGGCCTTTTCCCATGACGTCCGTTTTGGATGTAGCCAGGTATACCACCAGGTTCCCAGCAATCATGCGAACACCGGATACCTGCAGACCCCCCGACCCCGACCGCGTGGCGCTCACCAATTCCCCTATCCGGAATGCCCCAAAGAAGGCCAAGAGAAAGGCTGTCCTGAACAGGGCTACCTCAAACCCGTCAAAGCAGATTCCGGGAAGCACGTGGAGTAAATTCCCAAGCACCCGAACCGAGACCGGACGCCTAGCATCCGGTACCCTCCGGCCCCTCCGATACCCCTTGAGAGCCTGCCTAATGACAAACGCTTTCGTGAGGTCCTCCCACCCGTGGAATTTGAACCAAAAGGCCATCGCCGCCATGGTCCTATCAACCATTGCTGGGGACACACCTTTTACCAGCAATTGAAAAATGAACCACAGGAAGGCGTCCTGCGACGATTCCACCTGTGGCCCCTGGCCCAGCCCCTCCCAGGAACGTTCCCAGGCACCCCAAACCTTACTGTATGCGGTCCATGTGGCAGGTGCCAGCGAAGCCCTCACAAGTCCCCCAAGCATGATGCTCCGAGCTGCCACATCTCGTCCGGGCACGCCTGCCCGGTCTCCTGAGCCTCCGGAGCCGCCAACCGAAACCGGGACCACTGAAAACGAGACAGAGCATCAGCCACCTCGTTCAAATACCCGGGCACGTGACGCGCGCGAAAAACTACATTAAGGGACATGCAAAGCAAAACAAAACGCCGCAATAGTGTCACCACAGGTTTGGATGCTGCCGACTGGTTATTGACGGCATGCACCACCGACATATTGTCAGAGAAGAAGACTACTTTGCGGTCCCGGAGACAATCCCCCCACAGGGCCAATGCCACTACCAACGGGAACAGCTCCAGAAAAGCCAAGTTCCGTATGAGGGGGCTTCGCCCCCACGCCTCCGGCCACTTCTGAGCACACCATCTCCCCCTGAAGTAGGCCCCGAAACCCACGCTACCCGATGCATCGGTGAACAGCTCCAATTCGGCCGTAGACACACCCTCCTGGCGGAAGAACACCGTCCCATTAAAGTCTTGCAAAAATACCTTCCAGACGTCCAGGTCAGCCCTCATTGAGGAAGAGACCCGAACGAAATGGTGTGGAGAACCGACCCCCGCCGTGGCTGCCGACAGGCTGCGGCTGAACACCCTACCCATGGGTATCACCCTGCAGGCAAAGTTGAGCATCCCGATCAACGATTGTAGCTGCCGCAGGGGCACCTTACGCGCCCGCTGCACCGCGGCCACCGCACTGCGCAGTCCGCACAACTTAGTCAGAGGCAGCCGACATTCCCCATGCACCGAATCTATCTCTAAACCCAGAAAGCTGAGACACTCGGTCGGGCCCTCAGTCTTGTCCGCCGCCAACGGCACCCCGAAGTGGCCCGCCACCCACTCCACTGTCCGCAACAGGTGCCGGCAGGCGGGAGAACCCGCCGGCCCTACGCAGAGAAAGTCATCTAAATAATGCACCACTGCGTCGTTCCCCGACTCCATCCGCACCACCCATTCGAGAAAGGTACTGAACTTCTCAAAATAGGAGCACGAAATGGAGCAGCCCATCGGGAGACATAAGTCGACGAAGTAACCCCCCTCGAAGAAGCACCCCAGTAGGTGGTGACAAGCCGGATGAACCGGAAGCAAGCGAAAAGCAGCTTCGATATCCACCTTGGCCAGTAAAGCCCCACACCCGGCCCTCTTAACCAGCTCGACCGCCTGGTCGAATGATGCATAAGAGACCGAGCACAATTCCCCATCGATATCGTCATTCACCGACGCTCCCCTAGGATAGGACAGGTGATGAATGAGCCGAAACTTCCCGATCTCCTTCTTGGGAACCACCCCTAATGGTGACACCCTAAGGCCCAGAATCGGCGGCGCTGAGAATGGACCTGCCATCCTGCCCAACCGCACCTCCTTACTAAGCTTCTCCCGGACCACATCCGGAAATTCCCTTACCGATTTTAGATTACGCGTACACAACGAACCCTCCCTCGCTCGGAAGGGGATGAAAAACCCCTGTCCAAACCCCGACCTAAGCAGTTCTGCGTCCCCCTCATTACCGTAGCGGCTTAGCCAGGGTTCCATCGCGTCGAGCCTCACCGGGGTTCGGCCCCGGGGCAGCAGCTGTCCCACTGCCCCCGGGCGCTGGAGGAGCTCCGGCTCCGCCCGACTTACCTTTCTTATAGCATCTCTGGAGCCCGTGAGTCCCACCGCAGCCCGCGCATTCATGCTTGAAGCGGCAGGCCACCCCCCACTTGCACTTACCTTCGTTGAACGACCAGCATAAGCCCTTCTGCAAGGCGGCCGACGAGGCGGACTGTCCCTTTGCGCCAGCCGCGTGCTGAAAGGGCTGTGCCTTCTGCGCCATCATCAGCTTCATCCACAGGGGCAGGTCCATTTGGTCCCACCTCATCCCAGGATTGGCCGCCAAGCGTTGCCGGAACTGCTCGTCGTACCGCCACCAGGCCAGCCCGCCATAGGTGCGATACGCTTCCCAGATCCCATCTAGGTAACAGAATAGGGAAGAGCAAGAACTCGGCGATTTCTCCCCTATCACACTGGCTAGGACGCAGAAGGCCCTCAGCCAGTTCCCAAAGGACTTCGGTATCTTTCGATACCGCTTCCGTTTTTCCTCCTCCTCCTTCTTTTCGTCCTTCTTATCCTCCTCCTTGAGGTCAATGAAGTCCTCCAGAGGAAGAAGGGAGAATATCTCACAGAACTCCCCCTTCCAAATTTTTCTTTCGCCTCCTGCTTGAGGTGCACCCCCAGCGGGCCCGCAAATGACATGTAAGCATGCTGCCTGGCCGCGTCCGACACTCCTCCCGACAATTCCGCCCGTTCGCACCCCACCTCCCCCGGGCTGGACTCTACACCCGCCTCCCCGCTGGGCGCGGCTACCACGGGAGCCCCGCTAGCATGCCCCACCTCGCCGGACCCTCGCGTCCAAACCTGACCTACATCGCCCGAAGTGCCACCCCCCGCCCCCAATGAGTGGAGCAGTGACTGAAGTGTTTGAACTAGTGTATTGGACCCAAGGGGGCCTCTGGACTCACCGGCCAAGCCCCTCGATCCGTCCGTACCCGGGGCTGCATTGTCAACCGCTGCGTGACCTGGATGCGCAACATCCGCCGACGTCCCGCCAACCAGGGAGCCCACCTGGTGCCTCGACAACGTGGAAGATGAACGGCTCGGAGACCTGAAATGAGGAGAAGACATCCTGGGCAGGGGGTAGTGCTCTCCGGCTCCCCTCCCGTCCCGACCCAGGGAGCGCCTGCCTGCCACCAAGGCCTCCCGCCGTGCACCACTCTCCCGCTGCCCCCCGTGAGCCCGCTCCCCCCCGCCCCGAGGACTCCGACTCCTACCCTCAACCCTCGCAGCCCTCTCCTGTCGTCCCCGCCCCAATGACCCTGACCTAGCCTCTACCGAACTTCCCGAGGGAGAGCGCCTGCGCCGAGCCCCCCTTTTTTCCCGCGCCCTGAGGGACCTCGCGTCCCTCACAGGTGAAGAACCAACGCTGCTAGAGTCCGACCCGGAGCTGTCACCAGACCCCCCCCCTTCCGACCCACTAGACCCGGCCTCTGGACCCGCATAGCCCCCCCCAGCCCCAGCGCCTCCCCGCCTCTGGAAGTGGCCCCCTGACACCCCCCGCCCCCTACGCTTCACCGCCCTCTTACCAACCCCCCCCTTTCCAACTACCGCCCCTACCTCCCTCACCCGACCCGCTGACCCCCCAGGCACCCCCAGGGACCCCCCCGGTGCCCCCATCAGCCCTACCACAGAGCCCCCCCCACTCCCCCCCTCACTAGGGCCCTGAGAGCTACCCTGGGTCCCCCCAGAAGGTCCCCCCCCAGCCACCTGAGCCCCACTCCCCCCCCCTTTAGCCCCAGGCACACTACCCCCAGGCTGCACCCCCAGGTTGGGCCCCACGCCAAGGGGACCCCCAAGGGGGCCCCCTGCACTTGCCTGCTCCGTCCTGGGCCCGGTCCGCGCCTTCCTGGCCCGCTCTCCACCGTCCGCCGCTCCCACCGCCTGCACAACTCGCCCGGCCTGCCTGCCCGCTTCCCGGCAGGGCCGCCGCATCGCCGGTGCGTCCGCCGGGCCCGGCGCCGCCCCAACCGGTCCAGGGGGCGCGCCGTCTGCTGCCAGGGCCGCAGCCCGCCGGGAGCCCGCCTGCCGAGGCCCTGGCCGGACGCCGGGAGGCGATGCCTCGACCGCGCGGCCTCCAGGCCTGCCGCGGCCTTCCTCCCCAGCCGCCGGACCGCCAGGGAAAGGAGTCACGGGCCCCGCGCCCGGACTCAAGCGCTGTGGTGGCCTCCTGGCCCGCGCCGGGCGACCGCCGCCGCCATCTGCTGCCGCTAACAGGGGGCCCAGGTGCATCCTCGCCCAGCCTGGGCCCTGTTGCCGCGCCGCCGTCCGGATCCCATCCCACCTCTTCCATGGCCCTGCAGAGGAGACAAAAGAGAAAAGCCTACCTAGCAGGTCAGTGAACCAAGAGGCAACACA